TTACCACATAAGTGCCAGAGAGGTTTCTAGGTTCCTGGTTAACTTGAACTGTTCCATTGAATTGATTTAAAAGAATTATTCCTGGTGTTAATTCCTCTATTGTGGGAATATTTCTGTTATCAACAACACTGCAGTTAGATTCTTTGCTATTTAGTAAATTTGCCAAGCAAGTGTTATCATAAATTTTTTCCAATTGTGTTCTCTTGCAAATTGTGATATTATTATAGGATTTACAATTTTTTATGATACCGAAAATTATTTTATTACAAATTGTAACATTTTCGAATTTTATTCTGTTAACTAGTTGGCCGAATTAGACTGGTTTTATTAGTCGTTTGTTATATGAAGAGTTTTCTGTAGTAGGAATACTAATAATGTAAACAATTATTATATCTTTTACAATATTCACTTCATCTGAAGACAGAATAAATGAGTTAACCACTCCGACTATAGCCCAATGTTTGGCTGAACATTTACAATCTCTGTTTTTAGGAGATCTATTCTCATTTTGAATGTTTCAATCATTTTGTCTTTGAGCGTTTCATTGACATTTTCCTCTTTGAAAATTTTGTTAGTAGTTGCTACCAATTCATTTATTTTTCCAGAGATAATTTATTTACAACAATCTGTTTATCGTTATTGGTCAGTAATTCGTCAGATTTTTTCTTGAGTATCACAAAGTCATCATGATCGGGGTTTCCCGCGATCCATTTCCATGCTGTTCCTATGAAATTCAAAGACCTTTTGGTTCTAGGTTTCAGTCTGTCCAAATAGGCTTGTAATTCTATTAATTCATAGATAATGAAAGGTCGGAGATAGTGACTGCTACTGACATTCCTATCTACTGTCGTTTTCATACAATCAATTAGTGATTGATATTTGTCGATATCAATGATGTGAATCAATTTAAAAGTTCCTGTTTGTAATTTTGTCATTCCTGCGTCCAGTGTCACAATTTGTGAATTAGTGTAGTCGAATATTTGTACGTCATCGATGGTCGATGTGAAGACTGTCCTGAAATCAAAAAAATAAAAAGTCAGTTACGAATGTTGTTGTGAGTTAAAGGATTTTTCGTTATGAATTACAATTATCTTTGGCATACCGAAAGATAAAAGAATTTCTCTGAGTGGCTCTTCAACGTCAACTGCCGCTCTGGAATTGAGTAACTTTACTTGGGCGTACTTCGAAAATGTATCTATAGCAGTAAGTATTGGTTTCTTTTCCGTTAAATATATGTTAATATGAACGATCTCTCCTGGAAACTGTGGTATTGGCGTTTCTCCTAATTCAATTTTATTCGGGTGTCTATCATACTTATTTTCCTTGCAGATTTTGCAAGTCTTGACCACCTTTTTGATTTTTGAGTGCATTTCTGGAAAATAATATTGTGGCAATATTTGAATCCTGTTTTCCGCGCTGTTTCGGTGTGCTCTGATATGTTCATTTATAATTACTTCTTCTTGTTCGTCGATGGTCTTGAGGTCAGTTACTAATGTTCTAGAGTATTTTACTTTATACCGTGAGAAGTTTTCACGAAATACTTTTTGCAGTCTTTCAGGAATATGATCTGTTGTTTAATGCAGTTCGTACCAGATGGGTTCAAATACTTTTTTAAAATTTCAATGAGATTGTCCGTTGTGATATTTGGTTCGTTTATTCTATGTCGATGGATTGTTGGAAAAACAATTTCAAAATTGTAAGAATGGTGTTTACCTTCAGACGACAAGATAATCTGATTTTTAAAGGCATTTATCGGTACGTCGGTAAATTGAATTAAATTGTGCGAAGAGCTTTCGTCACTATGTTGTGTAGAAGTAATAGAGTCTACCTGTGAATAGCATTATATGTGAGCTGTAGAAAAACGTGGACCTAAATATTCAATGTTCCGCCACCGGAGCTGGAAACCATTATAACCTACAAGTTTCAATTTTTAGACAGATCTGAAAACATCTGGAGAAAATCATAAAAATGCCGCTTATCGAGAGATATCGTTATATGGCGGCTATAATAAGTTCTATACATTCCACCACAACTTTACAATTCCTATCAATAACGGATCCTGATTGGCACACTGGCATCTCCTCGACAACTTACTTGGCGGATATCGTTGTGAGCGGATCAACGGTGGACATTGATTGTTGTCGGTTTGCTCAATATATTATCCCTATCTCACACATCTGAAATACGAGGTGGGAATTCAAATCAATGAACTTTTGGATCACAGGATACTCATAATACGACCTCATATCCTATCCCATCATATAACTCTCCTATCTAGTAAAATTAAAATAAATCCTACGGTGAAAGCAATTGATACAATTGAAAAGTGATCTTAAATCGGAGAATGTTTTGTTAGCAAATCCGGACTTTAACAAAGAATTTCATCTGACCACTGACGCTTATAAATACGCGTTTGGCGGAAGACGATCGACCTATTATTGTTTTGTCTCCAACTCTTCAAAATTACCAATACGCTTCAGCCAAAATGAAAATCTACACGGTCCATTTACCACTTCTTTTCATAACAACAAGTAAAAAAGCTGTAAGTTCGGCTGGGCATAACCTTGAATACCGAATGTAGCTGTTATATTAGGGTCTATACGACGGCGTAGACCTGCATAGGCAACTTTTGTCATAAGCCATTACAAGACTCATCTGCGAAACATGAATAAAAAAAATCCGGTGAATAATGCAGCTAAAATCATCAAATACCGAATATAGGGATGTACCGTTATATTGTGTATATACGAAGACGTGGACCTGCACAGACAATTTTATTTCAAAATTTTACAACACCAACATCAAAATAGTAGATAAAACTTATAATTTCTTTGAAACAACACACCTACAACCCTTACCCGCAATTCTTTAGCCTAGATTATCCGAACCAAACATCAAAGAAACCATATCTTTGGAAATGGTAAAAGAACTCCAAGTTATAAACACAAAATCCATATAACTGCTAACATCAAACCATAAGTGGGGATTTTCATTCAACATTGGTTCGTCTTCAATAGCAATTGTGATTGTTGCGTTTATAATTCTACAAAAAATTGCATGCTCCCAGAAAAAGAAAATTGTTATTTCAGCACACATAATTAAAACAAATTCCGCAACGCACGCATATCTGCCTGAACTATCTGAAATAAGATCAGCTGGGATTAATAGAATCTCTAAGATCCCATATTTTTAACCGAACGAGAACGCTCGGCATTAAAGGGGGAGGTGTTAACCCATAATTATTGAAGACACACGCCACTCTTGTTAACTCATAATTCTCGAACACACACGCCACTGTTGTTAACTCATTATTATCGTTGCACACGCCACTGTGTCATCGAATCAACAACACCACCATCTACTCTTTAGAATACCAACCATACAAATTTGTTAATGTAAGCATAATTATAAGACCACTGTATGACCATTTTTTAAATAAAGAAATCAGTTTATTAGTGAGACTCAAACTGGTTTGCTTTAAATAACAAACCTTTTATATATATATATATATATATATATATATATATATATATATATATATATGTTTATATATATATATATATATATATATATATATATATATATGTATATATATATGTATATATGTTTATATATATATATATATATATATATATATATATATATATATATATATATATATACAGACAAGTGAACGTTGCGTGGTCGCATTCCTGGTCTCTTTTTATTACTTTTTATTACTTGTACCAATGGGAGCAAACCGACAACAATCAATGTGCACCGGTGATCCGCTCACAACGATCTCCGCCAAGTGAGTTGTCGAGGAGATGCCAGTGTGCCAATCAGGATCCGTTATTGATAGGAATTGTATAGAAGTTGTGGTGGAACGTATAGAACTTATTGTAGCGGAACATTGAATATTTAGGTCCACGTTTTCTTACAGCGCACATATATATTTTGTTAATCCAAGTCACATTTACCAACGAAATTGGTGACGCTAATTTGACTTTGATTAATGGTGACGCCGGTCTCATGCACCGGGGTTTTGAACTGAAGTTTTTTCGAAACGTATGACTAATAGTTAATATTTTTTTTTTATTATTTATCCACTTTGACAATAAAATAAAGATATTTAATAATTTTAAACTCTTTTATTTCAATATTAAAGCTCACAGACAATTTTAAATAGAGCATTAAAAATAACGATGTTTTAGCAATTAATTTTTTAAAATTAAGAAAAAATAAAAAAATCATATATTAATTCAAGAAAATAATGTTAATTAGTCTTTCGATAATAGGAACTTTTATAAAATGAACAAAATTGGTATCCTTCAAAAAAAAAAAAAAAAAAAAAAAAAAACAAAAAAAACAAATACATCTTAAAAACTAAATTTCTTCTGGCAAACAGCTGCTGCAATAAGGTACTACGTGTTCAAGACACAAATATTTTTGGCACTTTTGGCAAAAGTATTTGGTTTTTCTGTTTTTTTCCAGCCACACTCATGGCACCGTCCAATTCTGCAAGGACCAGATGTACCCACATCATTTATATGCAAAATCTCCGACAATCTTAGTTTTATTGATCGTGGTAAATTTGATTGGTTTTGCCGGTCCCTTATATGAGGCTCAATTAATTTCATAGCCAAATTCTCAATAAAGTTACGACGTAGTAATTTTGTGTCTGGATTATTGGCTGTATGTATCACCTGGCTATTTATGGTACTGACATTGAGCATAGCGTAGAACATAACCATGGGCCATCGCTTTGTTGCTCGAGCACAATTATAATTTGCACATAAACGATCTACGACATCGACGCCGCCCTTGGTGTCGTTGTAGCTCAAAATTATATCGGGCTTTTGAGTTTCGGCGTCGACTTTAGCATCATTGTGCATTGTACTTATAAGCAGAACATTTTTTCCTTTCCTTGGAGCATGTGACACCAATACCATGTTGTCACGAAAACCAAACATAGTGGATTTTACATTTCGACCGCGTAATATGTTGAAGTCTGTAGGAATTTATTTCTTGTTCTTCCTGATTTTTCCGACGGTTGTTAAACCTTTTTGCAGCAATGCTTCAGCTAAGGGTATACTGGTGTACCAATTATCGGTTGTGACGTTGCGACCTGTGTTGAAAATTGGTTCACATAATCTTTGAACAACAGCGAAGCCAGAATTGTCTAAATTGTATGGGCCTTCTTGTGGTTGTTTTCCGGAATAAATTTCCATATTGTATGTGTAGAACATTTTGGCGTCACAAAGGGCTTGAATTTTGATGCCATATGGATTTGGTTTGTTTGGAATATATTGCCTAAATGAGCACCTTCCCCGAAATGCTTCCAACTTCTCATCTATAGTCACAAAAGCAGATAAAGTATAATTAGCCTTACAATTGTTAACAAATTTCTCGAAGATTTCTCGAATATGGCAGATTTTGTCCAATGTTTTTCTATCTGCCCTCGTAGTACTATCATCAAACCTCAAAACTCGCAGTAAAAATCTAAATCTCTGGGCAGACATTGAAAGTCGAAATATTTCAACTGACCCGCCATCTGTACGAAACAACTCTTCTACGTTCAGATGATTAGATTTTTTAACACCAGCTAAAAGGAGCAATCCTATCAGGCAATATATTTCCTTGAAATCAGTGTCTTTGGCATATGTTTCTCTGCAATATTTATCTTTTACGGCAGCAATATATTGGTTGGTATACTTGACAATTATATGAATAATAGAGTCATCAAAAAAGTGTCTCCAAATTTCAAGAGGATCTTTTTCATGGGCTATAATCCGCTTTGGTCCTGGTAACTGTGAAACTATGTTGGCACTTTTAGTACGAACAGATTGGCGCGCTGGTTTCTTACTCCATTTTGTACTTGTGTCTTTTCCAATATAAAATAAAGAGCTATTGCATCCTGAAGGCTCTCGGTCACTCAACTCCTCTTCGCTGTCTGAATCGTGTATTTTCTCTGGTTCATAATCAATTTCGGATCCGCTATCTGAAGAACTTGTTGGTCCGTCCAAATCAAATTTTGTTTCTTGTAGAAGATCTTCAAGCTGACGCTGGAAGCTTTCATAAGACATGCTGTAAAAAAAAATATATTATAAAACACATACATACATACACATGTAAACACACAAGTACACATATATTTACAATAAAACAGCAGCAAATTATAATAAACTTAATAAAAACGTGAATAGTAAAAAAATAATTCTTGAATATTTTACTTACACAAACGGTGACTCACGGTTTCACACACCAGGGTAGAACAAAAATACACGAACTTGTGTTCACTAAGCAGTTTCGTCATGAACTGACGGTGGGGGATGTACTTAGCTACAGCTACTCGAAATCGCAACAAAAACGAATAACGGTAAAAAAGTTATACGAATTTTTTAACACAACCGGTCTCACAGACCAGTGCGTCACCATTGGCGGGTTCAACAGTCCTCGAAGTATAAAATTGTCTATAGAGGTTTCCGTTTTGGTATGTCCCCCATATAACGGTCCCACCCACTTTATGGTTCTTTGAAAAGTTTAAGAGCATTATCCAAACGGTCTTGCTGTATTTGTAGTTTAAAGTTAAACACGTTTGAATTTCGACTTTTTGTATAAACATGTTTTCCTAACCCAATGTGGGAAAGTATTAAAATTTATTTTATAAGAATTTCATTATATTCTAACGTAAGCAAGTTAATTTAATGAATAGTAAACATTGTCAAATAAGATTTTTAAAAATAAAAGTTCACTTGTTAGTACACTCAAAGTGTACTTTATCTAAATGTGTCCAAAACCACTTGCTTATATCAGACATACTTCTTGATTGATCTTATTGATTGATTGATCTACTCTATTTATCTATTTTACAATATTTGTCTATAAAATTTTAAAAGTTATCTATTTTTGATTTTGGTCATAAGGTTTTATAATAATTACATCATTCGTTACTAATTCTAGGTATACTGACTAGGTAAATTATTAATTTATTGCTAGTGGCAATTTTTACATAAGACAATTCTATTGCTTTATCTAAATTTACAAATGGAATTGAAACTTCTTCAGATCTTTCCTTGATTATTTCAATTTCATTGTTTGATAATTTAAAGGATTTAATATAATAATTTGTTTGCCCAGTTTAAAGCGTATTGAATGTATATTAGATACTAGTTAATTTTTTCTATGGATATATTTTATGACAACTTATTATACATTATTATACTTGTTATACATTATTAATCTGTTATACATTATTAATTATACCCTCCATCATACTATGGAGGGTACATTAATTTTGTCATTCCGTTCGTAACTCTTCGAAATACTCATGTCAGACCCAACAAAGTATATATATTCTTGATCAACATAAAATTCTAAGAGGATTTAGCCATGCCCCTCTGTGTGTCTGTCTGTCCGTCTGTGTGTCTGTCTGACTGTTGTAATCACGCTATCTTTCGAACGGATTAAGATAGAAGGCTAAACATTTCCACACATGTTTATTTTGCCAGTAGGCAGTTTAATTTCGTAAATGGGTCGTGTAGGCCCACGTTTTCATATAGCCCCCATATAACGGTACCTCCCGATATTCGGTATTTTGATGATTTTAGAGACATTTTTCACCGGAATTGGTTTAAATTTGGCATTTAAAGTTCAAAATGCATACTACAGCCTATGAAAGAAAATTGTCTGTGCAGGTCCACGTCTTCGTATATACACAATATAACGGTACCTCCCTATATTCGGTATTTGATGATTTTAGCTGCATTATTCACCGGATTTTTTTATTCAACTTTCGCAATTGAGTCTTGTAATGGCTTATGACAAAGTTGCCTATGCAGGTCTACGCCGTCGTATAGACCCTAATATAACAGCTACATTCGGTATTCAAGGTTATGCCCAGCCGAACTTACAGCTTTTTTACTTGTTGTTATTAGAAGAAGTGGTAAATGGTCCGTGTAGATTTTCATTTTGGCTGAAGCGTATTGGTAATTTTGAAGAGTTGGAGACCAAAAAAATAATAGGTCGGTCGTCTTCCGCCAAACGCGTATTTATACGCGTCAGTGGTCAGATGAAATTCTTTGTTAAAGTCCGGATTTGCTAACAAAACATTCTCCGATTTAAGATCACCTTTCAATTGTATCAATTGCTTCCACCGTAGGATTTAATTTAATTTTACTATATAAGATAGTTATATGATGAGGATAGGATATGAGGTCGTATTATGAGTATCCTGTGATCCAAAAGTTCATTGATTTGAATTCCCACCTCGTCTTTCAGATGTGTGAGATAAGGATAATATATTGAATAAATCGGGTTTTCTTCTTTTGCTTAAAATTCACCAACAGCGGATGCGGTGTACGTTAAATTTTCATTGGGATCACGAATAGGTTTCTATATTTCTTGACCAAATTGCCGAGTTGAAGTCTTTGTCCGTCATTCATGTGGTCGTTCCTGATATTAATAGTATTAATTGATGATATTAATAGTATGAACTGAGACGTTAGCTGCTTTATTCATTTTTATACCCTCCACCATTCTATGGAGGGTTCATAAATTTTGTCATTCAGTTTGTAACTCCTCGAAATATTTATAAGTAACCCTACAAAGTATATATATTCTGGATACAAATTCTAAGACGATCTAGCGATGTCCGTATATCTGTCTGTCCGTTTGTCTGTCGTAATCACGAAATCTTTCGAACAAATTGAGATAGAAAGCTAAAATTTTGCATACATGCATAGTGCCATGTCAGTCCACGTTTTCGTATAGCCCCTATATAACGGTACGTGCCGATATTCGTTATTTTATGAATTTAGCGACATTATTCACAGGAATTGTTTCAAATTTTGCATTTGAAGTTCGTAATGGGTACTATATCCTAAGACAAAAAATTTCGTAAGCAGGTTCATGTCTTCGTATAGTCTCCATATAGGTTAGGTTGAAAAGAGGGGCGAAATAAATTTGATTCCATAGGGATATGTTGGCGTTTTTTTGCCCATGTCTTTAACACTAGACGTGACTACGTTTGTTGTTGCTAATCTCCTGCCTGTTTTGGCGAAAGAGCTTGCTATCTCGTTATCTCTAACTCCCTATGAACTGGTACACATATAATGCCTACTAAGCCGTGTTGAAAGTAGTTGTTGATTGAATTTATGCATTCCAATACAGTTTTTGAGGTTACTGTTTTGGATGTCATACTTTCAAAATAAGGCCTTGCATTTCGTCTGTATTCACCTGGAAATTCCTTTAGAATTTAATAAGATTTCCGAGAAGTGCATGAAAAGTTTTAACGTTAGGCGAAAAGGAAACACAATTGCTTTGCTAAATTTTTATCAAAGAGTTTAATAAAAGTATGATGTGTAATTCTTGTCTGTTCAGCGATAAAGGGAGCGAAAAAATATAATTTTTAATTAAATGAGATTGAATATAATTTTTGTTAGGTCCGGTGTGAGCCAATATTCTTAAAATTTGTCCTGTGCTCGTCATACTAACAAAATAAGGCTTTGCATTTCATCTGTATTCACATGGAAATTCCTTTGGAATTTAATAGGCTTTTGATGCCTAGCGCTTCAATTGAATGGACTTTTGATAGAAAATTGGTTGTTATTTCTGGGACTGTTAATATAATTTACAGTCTTAGTCCGTATTGAGGCCTCCACATCCATGGGTTCATGACGGGGTTGTGGTTTTGGAGCGGATGGTCTTGCGGGTTGTAAAAAATTATAATGACCTTGCGCCGTTGTATTGTAGTAATTCATAAGACGAAAATTGTTGTCAAAATGTTGGTTATTTTGTTACGCATACGCACGAATGAGCCAGTGTGTGACATTCGGGCGATGTTCCATTCGCTGTGGTTACTGAGACATGATACTGTGTTTATTGATTTTCTGACTAGAAAAATCAGTCCTTACACTTTGATTCTGAATTTTATGGTGAGGTTCAAGGGTTGTGGAAGGTCTCTTGGTTCATTCATCACTGAGTGAATGGACATTTTTCATTTAAGACCTCGAATGAAAATACACAGGGCCTTGTGTTTAAAGGTACGTGCTAGGATATCTAGTGAATCCCACCTAATATCGAAACAAGCGAACTTTGTCCTTTAAGACCTCGAATGAAAGTACTCAG